TTAACATTCATGTGTGCAGAAACATATGATTTAGATACGAATCACAATGCCTGTTACTGGCTTAAAGGTCGAATGAGCTATTCTGATAAAAATGTGTCCGTGGTCTTCTAGGTTTTGCATTATTTATAAGCAATCTTGGTGGTCATAAAAGATCAGGGCAATTTCACATCATTTTAACTTCCTGAAAAAGAAGAACTGTTATGAAAATACAAGATAGTGCATTAAATATTATAGTTGAAGCATTTTGTTAAATAATGGCTTATGGCAAACAGGATTGATATTTTTTATGTTGATCTGTTGAGTCATTTGGGTTAGTGGTCATAAAAATATTTAAACTATTAAACTTACTGGAAAATAAGAGCTCTGTTTAAAAATTCTAGGGGATTGCTTGTTTTTTATAGCTGGAATACGATGTACAAAATACTCGAGTTATAGTTTATGGCTCGAAGAATCATATTTCATACATGTACATGTATTTTAAGTGGATCTTTGGGGGTAATTTGTTGACAACACAACCCCCTTATATATTTAAAATCACAACATTTTAGGATGTTTTGATCCACAGATGCTATTGTCATCTTATACATGAGGAATACAACTAAGTTCATAAGTTTGTTTGTTTGTTTGTTTGTTGTTTAACGTCCCTCACGAGAATTTTTCACTCATATGGAGACGCCACCACTTGCCGGTGGAGAGCTGCAAATTTTGACCTATACTCGGTACTTAGGGCCATTGAGCAGTGAGGGACCTTTTTCGTGCCTGCACCTACTGCGACACGGGACCTCGGCTTATACAATTTCATCCGAAGGACGAAGAACCGGTCTCCACGTCCAACAGTGGGATTCGAACCCGAGATGTAAGGGTCAACCCCTTACTCCGCGACTCTAGAGCAGACGCTCTAACCGCTGCTCTACGCGGTCATAAAAGCACATATCATTATATAAAGAAGAACAACTGATGGTTCTGTCTCGGTATACTACGCCTAAAGGAATTGTAATAATGCTAACTACCTGGGAAATGTCTGACATATAGAAAATTAAGTTTTATTCTACTTGTCAGATAGATTGTTCGATGGTAAGGCGTACGATTTAGCGACGATTATTAAAATAGAATTTCTTAGAATATTTTTCTTCGTACAGTTTTATAATGAGTTCAATAACTGCACTCGAGAAGACTGCAGAAAGATGTATTTCAGGTCAAATTTGGATTTTGACTAATATTTCTGCATTCCATAGTCACAAACATTAGATTTCTGTAAAATTCTTTGAAATTTTATTATTCCTTCAGTTATAGCCTGATTTTACATAAATTAAGATAATTTTTATCATAGAAAAGACGATTCATATACCAGGGTGATAGAACTTCCAACAGCACAACCTTTTTATTTGATGAGATTTACTTCCCCTTGTCAGCTGGTCAAAGGAATGTACTCAGAGAAGAGCATTTTGATGACGAGGATCACAACAAGGATCACATCAACAAAAATACGGTATCCGGAAATCACCAATTTGCTATTGAGTTTTTGTTTCGGACTTCTCACACAATCAATAACTTACTGTCCTATTGTAAAGCCAGCATGGTGTGTTGGGCATTTTTGTGAAATCAGAAAGACATTGATTTTGGGTCTGGATATACTTTATTATTCTCCTTTTTTAAGAAAAAATAATAATTCATGTACTAAATTTGTTATATTTTTATGTTACCGAAAGCCTTTATGAAATAAAATACCGAGATTTATTAAACTTTGTATGACTAGAAATGATGATATCAATTCTTACAAATTGCATATTTTCTAGGAATATATTGTTCATAGAGATGTTTCACAGAAACAGAGGTAACCAAGAAAAGGGTCATTTGAACTATAGTGTAAAAGATAATGAACAGTGATCAATCTCATAAATCCAGTGAACAACACGAATCGTGAACAGGCCTATCTAGTACTAATCAGGGCGTACGGGGATTACCTTACTCTCGTCTTTCTCCATAGTTTTTCAATACAAAGGGTACATAGGAAAACAGACAGGTAAATTTCGGATCAATCCGTTTTAGATACTAGATATATCTATACTCCACTTTTATTTACATTACCATACATGTACATACCTTACACAAATACTGTAAACCAATTATTATTCGCGACGACTTTTATTCGCGATTTGTTTTTGAAACCCATCCGCGACGATTTCTGTTCAAGACTGGGAATATATTCTTCATAAATACTCAATTAAATTAAAGGGGCCTTGAAGTTAATATTCTCTAAAATTTTCAGTATAATATCATGACTTATATGTTGCTAGAGCATTTCACATGAAAATATTATAAAATTGTGTTTAGAAACTTCTTTTATCTGGAAATTATTAAATCTACGAATTTCGGGACGCGCTTGATTGACTTGCACATCCAGGGAGTAAGCTTTATCCTGAATACTTAAGAAAAAAAAGAAATTTTGGTATGTATTAATAAAAAATATGAAAACTATAATCCAGAAAGTTCAGAGTAGAAATGTGAGAAAGCAAAACAAACTCACCAGTATTGTCAGTCTGTGTTCAGTGAACAAATAAACTAAGTAAACAAAATGAACACACCCGGTAAACCTTAATTCTAAGAATATTCATGTAAGTTCAATTCATGAAACTTAAGTTATTTTTTGAATAAAAATAGAAATTTAAAATTGTAAACAATGCAACTGTGTCCAGGCCCCTTTAACAATTTGCGGCGAGAAATATTTGCCAGTAAAAGAAGGTCGCGAAACTCGTGGATATATTTCGCACGCGAATAAAAGTTGCTTTACAGTAAAAGAGCCAGAAAACAGATTGGGATAAAAAAAATTCAGAATCTTCAGCGAGTCTTGGACTCAAGGAAAAACCATAAGAATAGGGGACTCTGCAGTGACAGGACACACAAATTGCTTTGTCGACTCATCCGTAAGTCAAACGCAGCTCTGTCTTCTGTTCAGCTTTTCCTTCTGGAGACTGGGTCATGTTTACACCATAAACATCATACTCTGCAGTTTATATATCCTCAGAAAATAATTATAATTGAAACATTTCCAGATGATTTGATTTGAATTTGGTTACCAGTATTTCGTTGGAATGGACATACATTTTCAGGTCGAAGTTCAGCTCTTGGTTAATCCAACAAGCAGAACACAATCTTGCACTCTCACCATTACATTGCTGCAGCCTATATCCTCAAAAATTGAATTCAAATGAAAGATTTGCAGTTTTCATTCGAATTTGATTGCGTATTTTGTTGGAAAAGAAATCCATTTCTAGGTCAGATTTGGCTAATATTGTCTTTTACGCTTACTCTTCGTTTCCAGGTCCAAATATAAATCATTTGCGCATCTTTTGGTACATTAGATTGTGATTCTGTCAAATTCTCTCCATTGGAGGAAAACATGTATACCTTTACAACGCAAACTATAAATTGATTTTGAAGCATCCCATACTTGTATAAATACCGGAATTCCCAAAAATCCACCTATAACTCTCCATACTTTAGACAAAGACCTTTTGTTATTATGCATCTGGAAGCAAAACGGATATTCAACAACTTTCTCTGCATCCTAGCTTACCCCTGTGGCTGTCCATTCTGTAAATAATGAACTTATCATTGTATGTGTGCTATCTGACAAAATCAATTCTTAATACGACAGCAGTTTTGTACATTTTTTTCTGTTAATTCTCGGAACAAAGGAAATAACGTTTTAAGTAGGAGAAATGCCTCATACTGTCCATTCTGTGAATAAAAAACTAATCAAGGACCGTAAGCCCGAGATTAGTTCTTTCTTTCACAGAATGGACAGTTTGAGGCCTTCCTCCTTTATATGCAAAACGGCAGTAAACAGGAAATTATTATAGTCTGTTTCTTTTAAATACATGCACCATGAAAAATGTGTTTCCAGAACTCTCTGAAATATTTTCATGTCTTAAAAAAGAAACGCAGGTGGATTCGGGGTGTAAAAATAACAATCTCTCTCTCTCTCTCTCTCTCTCTCTCTCTCTCTCTCTCTCTTTAAATAAATCCAACCTCTTAAGAATATGTAACCATTTGTATGAAAGACGTCCGTCAACATTCGACCAAACGAAAGATTTTATTTGTAAAGAGGTCATTGTATCGACAATAGAATTTGCAAAATGTTGACTTTAAAGAAGGTTTTTGATATCATTGAATTTGCATCATCAACTAATTTTTCAATAGCCTGTTTCGTTTTGGAAATTGCTCGTACATGGAATATGCCCTTGCGTATTAAATCAACTATGAGTCAAATTCCGGATGCAGGTAATAGTGGAACATTGCTACATAGATATGGGAAGTTGACGATAGAAAAGTTTGAGTCATGACGTTAATCTTAAAGTTTATTTGCTAGTTTGCCATCAATGCCTTTCTCTGGTGAAATATTCAAATATGAATCAGACTCTGTTGTGTCTTTTATCTTATGTAGAAGTTTTTGAATAAATTCTGCTTCATATAGATACAAAAACATGTCTGCTAATAAGGGGGCACAATTAGTACCCATGGATTTCAGATTGTTTAACAAAGAATATAAAAAATAATGAAAAAGATTGCAATTATTATGAAAAATATAGCAAAACTCGTTGCAAAGCAACGGGTAGGTCTGACAATAACGTCATATGATTGTTTTTACCCGTATGGATGTATCAATCATAATGTATCAGCAAATATTTTAGAGGGGGAGACAAAGTTATGTTATTGAAAGAAAATTCACTATTTAAAAAAATATAGCGATTGGATCATATGTGTGAAAATTCGCCCTTTTGTAAAGAAAAGTTCATATACTAGATTTGTCAATCGACAAATTTGTAAAAATTCCCTTTAGGCATACATTATGACTTGGTATGGTTGTCCTTGTCCCCGAAGCCTTGCCTTTGTATAAGCACTGTACATATACAAAGTCAAGGCCTGTGAACAGACTGTAGGTATGGCAGTATTGAATACATAGATATACAAACAACACTTTCATTTATTTGATTAAACTAAATAATATCATTAAGGGACACAATTTCTATTGTGATTTCTGCTGTTGATGATAATGTGGGCACACCTCCATCAGTCGCAACAACTTTTACGTTGCAAGCTGGTATATGCGAAGCCCTTTCGTCATTAAGCTTCTGAGCAACCCTGATCACACCCGACAAAGGATCAATGGAGAAATCATGGCAGGATGGGTTATTTGAGTGGACAAACCTGTAAGATAACTTTGCGTTTTTTCCTGCATCAGCATCAACTGCGTTGATCTGCATCACTACCTGTCCAATACTAACACCATCCGATACAGCGCTTATGAATCTGTCTCTTGAGAAGACAGGTGCATTGTCATTTTCATCCAAAATGTGCACCTGAAAACGAAAGAAATACAGCATAAATAGAACTGAGTCTCAATAATGTCAATCACTACATTATACATTGATGATGCATGAAATATGAAGATGAGGAACAGTAATAAAGCTAAAAAGTTCATTGAAACAATACAAATTGGAGCAGAGCTAACACAGACCTATTAAAATATAAGAGGTGGGATCAGGTGCCATGGAAGAGTAATAATCCCCTGTCAACCGATCACACCCGCCGTGTGCTCCTTGTCATGATCGAACAAACGGAAAAATCCGTACACAATTCCAGGTGAAAATAATGGTCTAACAATTTGTATGAATTTGTATGTATTTTGTATTTGTCAGTCAACATTCGACTTAATGATAGATGGTATATACTGACAAGGTCATTGTATCCACCATAGAATTAGTTAAAAATTGACTTTAAGGGGATGAAGGACACATGGTCACATGACTCTGTTTAACTGTCATAGTCTCCGTTTATATAAGTGCAAAACGTGTAAACCATCAGTTCTTGTATAAATTTTTGACAATTTGTTTTACTTTAATTACCATCATATATGAAAAAATAAAGATTTAACATTCTTGTTAAGATTAATAAATTATAAAAAGATTGATCCACTCCTCTGTTTCCCTAAACTGCCCGTCCAACAAATCGGTGACATCTTAAACGATCTGTTAGTACAGCAAGATCATACTCGGTGAATACAAGGGTGGTATTATTATGTAAAAACAGGTCATAATCAGTATATTTTGAAATATTTTGAGAAACGGGAAACATAAAAAAATTTTGCATGGCTGATGACGGAAATCTTATGTACGTACATCTTTTTTCGCTTATTTAGCTTACGTGTGACGTCATAGTTGGTTTTTCCCGTACTCAAAAAATGTAAACATGACACGATTTTACCATGCTTATGTTTTCTTTAACGATACCCTGTGCAATATTGAGGTCAGCTTCACCATTTGAAATTTTCACAGTTAATCAATAATATGAAGGACTTGCATTTCAACGTAAATTTAAAAATATTGAATGATAGAATTTTTGGCAAATTTTAAAAGTTTTTTGTTGTTTAATTTGTCTTAAAAAGTACGTAATTTTCCCTATCTAGATGCAATGTGATAGAAGAAACCTGCTTTTTTTTTAAATTTAAACGCTATTCATAATCTGAAATATTTTAAAGGATACATGTCCACTTGCATATTTTTATCTATGCTTGAAAAATTCCGTTGTGGACAGAGTAATAGGCCCGGAAACATGGAGAACTAAAACTCCACTTAATACTGTAGGACATAGTACTGTATTTGTAAATCAAAATCTCTAAAATAGGGCAAGAAACCTAATGATATAACTCCTTTTAGATGTGTAAGACATACTTAATTAGAGATATACAAAATATGAAAAAATTGAATGACAAGTATTTTTTTAGCTCAAGGTCTTTCTTCCCCGAAAACGAGTCTGTTGATATTCATGGTTCTTCAACTTATTTGTCAATAGCTTGCCTGGTTTTAGAAATTGTTTCTAAGTAGAACATGCTCTTGAGTATCGAATCATTTGGGAGACATTAACTCCATATGCAGTTATATACCTTTAATGGATCACGGAATAAAAATGAATACACTAGAAACTTATTGCACAACTACAGGCCACCACCAACCACATTCCAAAAGTTAAATTGGCTACTGTTTAAAATGTAATAGGAGTAATACATAGAATATATATCGTGAGATTCCGGACGATTCTGTTAGGAAAGACAACAATATCCTTGGGCTTTCTTCAAAATATGTGGATATAATTGTATAAATGCGGGTATAATTAATTAATAAATTAATAAAGAAACGGTGATATATTTGACTACACTTTCCCCTTCAAACAAATCCTGAAAAAATCTTCAAAGCTTTTAAAAAAGTATTCTACATGTACTTACAGACACCATAACCGTAGTCGACTTAGGAGGGGTGCCATGGTCATGGACCTCCACCATAAGCAACGCACGATCTGCAATTTCTCGGTCAAGGTTCGCACGTGTTTTAATGACCCCACTAACATCATCAATTTCAAAGTTTTGTGTTCCCTGTAGCAGCACGTACCTAAGTCTACCGTTTTCTCTCCTATCGCCATCCACAGCGGAAACCTGAAAGACTGAGGATCTGATTGGAATATTCTCTAACACTTCAACTCTATACGGTGTTCCAATGAACTGTGGCGTGTGCTCGTTCGTGTCATGGACATTTAGTCTAAGCTGTGCTGTGTCAAAATCGGTGGCCCTGACGTTTTGTAAAAAGTCTCCATGTAATAAAATCACAGCAATCTCCCACAATATTGTATCTTGTTTGGTCGAAAATATACCCATGTTTTTTCTTCCTCTTTCGAGTTGTATTTCAAAAGGTAATCTGCTAAAAAAAAAATCATTTTTATATACAGTTTATATCACACAATAGCTACCATTCATGACAGGGGAGGGGCATTGGGGGGAGGAGGAATTTGATATTGATGTCCAGTTATTTGGGGTCACTTTGTTTTTTTTCCAAATGCAGTACTTGAACCAAAGATAAGAAACATATTTTAGTGTATGTATGTAAAGCATAGCTAAATTATAATGTCTAAATTCTTTATATACACTGTACATGTATATTAAGGAAATTTTTTGTCTGGTTTAGGACTAAATAAAATAAAATATTCGAAGTTAATTCTCTTAAATGTCTTTCATATTTAGATGCCAGGGATTCAAACGATCATATTTTTCTTTCTCACTCACAATTTCACAATTGTACAACTTTAAACAGAAATGGTAAATTGAGTTTAAAGTCTAGCAGGGTATATATTTTTGGTGGAACGGCAACGTCTTTTCTGTTTTCTCGAATTTACTATAGGAAAATGAATTTCATTAACATTTTCAAACTATCAAAGACTTAAAAAGGAATTTTATGAAGTAAATAAAGTATTGTTTGTTTGTTTGTTTGTTTATTGTTTAATGCCCTCTCAAGAATTTTTCGCTCATATGGAGACGCCATGTGCCACTTGCCGGTGGAGAGCAACAAATTTTGACCTATACTCGGCACTGTTTTAATTTTACAGAGGTATAAATTTTTAAAAATTTGCTAATATTTTGCAGCAAAGCTTATTAACATTGACATACGAAATAGGAATGTGAAGAAGTTGTTCTTAAAATGAAAAATAAAAAATCCCCTGGTCAAGATGGCTTAACAGCTGAATTCTATAAGGTTTTTTGGCATGATATAAAGGAAATATTCTTTTCCTCTTTACGTAAAAGTATTGATGATGGTATTTTGCCTTTTTCTCAAAGAAATGCTGTGATATCCCTGATATATAAAAAAGGAGAGAAAGAAAATCTTAAGAACTATAGACCAATTAATCTTAAAAATGTTGATTAAAAAAATTTTGCTCATGTTCTAGCTAATCGTTTGTAAAAAGTTGCTAGTAGAATAATTAGTAGTGAGTAAAGTGCTTATATTAAAGGTAGATATATTGGGGAGAACGCGAGAATAATATTAGACATATTTGAATATTGTAACAATAATGATATTGATGGTATTTTGCTCTTTCTCTATTTTGAAAAAGCTTTCGATTCTGTTGAATATAACTTCATGTACAAAACTCTAGAAAAAAATAGTTTTGGTGAAAAATTGATCAAAATGATAAAAACATTATATTTTAAACCAACTTTTAAAGTTAAAAATAATGGCTGGATGTCAAAATCATGTGAAATGCAAAGAGGGATTAGACAAAGATGTCCTGTGTCAGCACTTTTATTTATTTTCGTGCTAGAAATACTAGCATTCAGCTTAAAAATAATGAAGAAATCATCGGTTTATCGCCAGGTGATAATGGAAATTTAAAAAATCGTACAACATGCCGATGATTGCAATAATTTATTGAAAGACACTTATTCATTGAAAAAAGCTTTAGAAACAATACGTGAATTTAGCAAAGTCGCAGGCCCGAAACTGAATATGGACAAAATTTACAGAATGTTTATTGACAGGAAAATTTATTGAAATGTATTTAAATGAAAAATATATTTGTGGTTAGAATTTCTAAAAGTCATGTAAAATCAGTAGGTGTATATCTCGGTCATGATAAGGATATCTGTTATGATATGAATTGGACAAATAATGATCTTTTATCTCTTGAAGAGTGGTCAAACAAATGGTTACCAAAATTTAATCCCTCCAAAGCTAAGGTTGTATTTTTTAGCACAAGAGAAAACATAGAACCTCCCAAAGTCCTATTCCAAGATAGCCAATTAGAATATGTTCAAACTCATAAACATTTAGGGGTAACTTTTTCATATAACTTAAGTTGGTCAACTCACATTGAAATCTTACTGTCTAATGCATACAAAAAAATTGGTCTATTAAAAAAAACTTAAATTCAAGATAAATCGAAAGACTCTTTCACTCATGTATACTTCATTTATCCGCCCTCAACTCGAATACGCTTCAGTTGTATGGGGTGGTTGTCTAGCTATCGACTCTGAAAAATTAGAGAAATTGCAACTACACGCAGCACGGATTGTTACTGGCTTGACCTTAATTGCATCTAGAGACTCTTTGTACTTTGAAACAGGCTGGGAACCGCTCATCGATAGACGCAAGATTCAGAGATTGAATACCATGTGTAAAATTCATAATAATTTAGTTCCTGATTATCTACGTGAAATTATACCTGAAATGCGATGTAATGCTTCCGCGTATAGAAATTCTCAAAATTATAATATACCCGTCTGTAGACTGCAATTATACAAATCATCATTTGTACCAACTGTAGTAAACGAGTGGAATTCTTTATCGCTAGACACCAGACTCTCGAGCTCCTTATCTGCTTTTAAACGTAAAATCACACAAAAAATAACAGTAGCCCCGCCTTATTTCAGTTTTGGAAAAGACGCTACAATATACTGCACACTAGACTCCGACACAATTGTGTGCTAAACATTGATCTTTATAGGTGTAACATAATATCTAGTCGATTATGCTGCTGTGGTAAGGTAGAAGACAGTCACATTATTATTTTTTCTCATGTCCTAATTACACTGAGGCCAGGAAAGATTTCTTCGATACGTTTTTGAGATTTAATAAAGTTCATATTGTTGACACTCATACTTTACTCTGGGGGGATACTTCACTCAGTATTGCTGAAAATGAATATCTCTTCTCTATTGTTCAATCTTATATTCAGCATTCAGGCAGATTTAATTGATTTTTTCTAAAAATGTGTATAGATAATAATTTAGCAGTATATGTTTCTATGTTGTGAGTTAATTTAGTTTGTACATGCTGTTGGACACGTCTGATTCAATCTTTTGTGATATAACATGTAGGGAGAGGGCGAATTAGGTTTTTAGAACTTGTGCCCAATCCCATTGTATATATTTATTGCAATAAAAAATATGTTCAAATCAATTGGACAAATAAATTAGAGAAACTTGAAAGAATACTGAGTGTTCGGAGAAGGCCAAACTTAACGATCTTCGGAAAATGCACCATAATAGATACACTAGCATTATCTAAATTGGTATATAATGCTTTTATTTCGTCAAATCCAAAAAATGAATTCTTTAAAAATGTATCAAAACTTGTATATAATATCCTATGGAAGAAAAAAGATAGGATAAAGAGAAATACGCTAATTGGTAAAGTTGACCAAGGTGGAATAGGTATTGTTGATATAGAGAGTAAATTTACTGCAGCGAAGGCTTTTTGGATAAAACGAATACTAGATAAAAGAAGTATAATATAAAAAATGTTGAATAATATTCTTAATCTTAAAATCCTGTCAGTTAATGATATTGTTAAAACAAGTGTATGTAACTTTGAAAATACTGCTTTTTTAAGATGCTAAGAATACCGCTTTTTTATGGTGAAGTCCTTTCCGCTTTCAATAAATGTAAAAAAGTTAAACAAATTTGTGCTTTAAAGAGAGACCATTTTTTATCGGTGTTCATTTGGAACAATAATGTTTCAGTATGATTCTAAACCTCTTTGTTTTGAAAACTGGATACAAATTGATATTCTGTATTTCAAAGATCTTTTTGATAATGATGGAAACTTCCTTAGTATTGAACACTTTTATAGCATACTGGAAAAGAAAAACAATATACTCTGTGAATATATCATGATAAAGAAGGCACTCAGAGAATACAAAAACAATTTTGATTGTACATATGCAAAATTTGTTAATATTAAAAACGAAGTGTCATTTTTATTCAGAGATAATAGTGTAAGAACTGTAGCAAACTTTAATGTGATTTTCATCATTCAATTTTGGTAAACAAAATTTCAACGATCAGTTTATGAAAATATGTGGCAAAAGACTTTTGATCTTAGTTACAAATATGTCTGGAAAAATGTATATCTAGCTAAAATTAAGTATATGTATGAAAAAAATGTTGTTGAATTCAATTATAAATTATTGAATTGCATATTGAATAATAATTTAAATGTAAGTAAATGGAACAAAGATGTAGAACCTTTTTGTGAATATTGTATGGTTGCTGAAGACACTGAACATCTCCTGTACAAGTGTAAACTTTGTGAAAATATTTGGAAAAAATAAGTTTGATTTGGGGTTTTGAAATCACATGGGAAAAACTGGTACTTGGTTTTTATAATGAAATCAATTCAAAAACAACTAGATTGAATAATCTATTGTCACTCATTTGTTTTACCATTTATAAATATAAAATGAAATGTAGATTTCAAAAAGAAAACATGTATATAGAAGTTTTTCGAAATAAGATTAAAAAAAAATTGTCTTTGTTTACAAAACGTGATTCTAAAGAAAGCACATGTAATTAATGATAATCTGCATCTAGAAGTAGGCAATTATTTGTGATTTTGATTCATAAGTTTCTATGCAATGTATGTATTATGATTTTCTGTACATTGAATTATTTATATACCATGTTTTAATAAAAGAGAAAAAAAAACATTGACGTATAATTTTTAAAAGTAGATCCCAGCTTTTTTTCTTCAGGAATAGAAGATAATGCTTATTAGTTTTGAGAATAGAAATGTGTTTTATATCAATCTAATCAAATGTTATTAAGTATATCTTTGAGGACATGATCAAGATTAATGATTTTTCTAGCGACTAGATTTTTTCATGAACTTCTTTCAGTGACGACCGGTCAAGGTAGTCTAAGGGTAGGGCGTTTGCTTCGTGATCGGGAAACCCAGGTTCGTTTCTCGTTCGTCGCACCGCGCCAAACCTAAGACATAACTACAGGTAGTGACTGTTCCTTCGCCAAGCGCCCGGCACTAGAAGTGAAAGTCACGGGTCTTTCGGATAAGACCTTAAAAACCGAGGTCCCGTGTCACGGTGAGCGGT